CTACAACTATTGGTTTATGCTTTGGATTGTGTAAATTGTTGATTTTCACATTAATCGAATTCTTTATTGACACTTTCCTCTGTGTTTTGAAGAGAAAGTTCACCCAGCGCCTGAATTGCCTCAAGGATGCAGACAAGTCATACGTTACCAAACGCTTAATGTGTTTTCTTGGAAACAAGGTCAGCAGAGATGGACAGATAGCTCTGTGGTAATGATTCTTCAGTAGAGGTGAATCACATGACTCAAGCCAGTCTAGCAGATCTGTCTGAAGAGAATAAATCCTGCTGTCACTGTAACAGCCTTGGGTTTCTAGAAAGACTTCTATAGGTAAACTTGTTCACCTTTAAACCTTTCATAGCTCGGCTTCTCTTTATTTATTTATTTATTTTAAGATATTCTATCATTAACTCTATTGTATGTCTATTTTCTTTGTTTTTGTCCAAGAGAGCACATTAACTCCTTTTTTTCCTCAGAGTTACTCTGGTAATGGCACTTGTGTTGACTCATGATGTCTAATACATGCCAACAGCAGGTGGCCGGCAGGAAAGAAAAACCTTTCCATTCATTGATGCAAAATCCAAATAAAAACTGGCTCAGTGTGTGCGCCGCAGTCACATTCCACATAGTTGAATTCCTTGTCTTCACCTGGACACCTGCGCAGCTGTGACCTCGCCTCCCTGCCTCAGAACAACTTTTTGCTTTCCAAATTAACAGGAGAGAAAAATAGTTTTTCATGTGTGTGATTATATTTGGGAGCAGAGCCATGTTCCTGATTTTGTTGTTTTCCACGGCCCATTGTTGATCGTCTGCTTCTTTCAACCCCTGTCATTAATTGTGACATCAAATGAGTCACTTTCTATGCGCAGCACAGTAATGTCTCTGAGCAACCAAAGATGTAAACACTGCTCTGCCCCCCTGGGGCCGACGGCATTAATCAGCATTGTGAACCCATTTGACAATGGCTTGAATAAAAAAGGAATTCGTTTATAATTAAGACTTAAGCACTGCCAGGCCTGACGCTGTCAATGAATTTCCTCCCGAGTGATACAAAGTGGCTTAGCAGTAAGATGTATAGAGTCCTTTTTACTGGCAATCACTGACCATTAGGCTTTACAAATCATTATTGTTCTGCTCCTTTACCTGGGAGTGTAGGCAGTAACAGTTGGTTTCAGGGCTCTGTTCTGTTGGGTTTTATCGTCAGAGTAGAACAGAGGTTTTAAAAAAAAACTGACATTGTGGGTGTCCCTCAAAGAAGGATAAAAGGAAACCTTCTTCCCCAACCCACATATATTCAGCACATACAGTTAAATACAGGGACATGAACATGGATCAATACCAATATGTTAATTTAATCTAATTTAATCATTATAACTTTTGTTTTTCTAGTTTTCAAGTTGCCGGAATGAACAAAAAAAATCATTGAGGTTTCAGTCTTGTAGAGGACGTAGTGTTTGATTGAGGTTTTTTCTGCAGAATACCTTCCTGATGTCCAGATTTGGTCAGGGGTTCTTAACCTTTTTCACCCTGTGGCCCAATTGTGTATTTCAAAGTGGCCAAAATGTTGATGAAGCCAGGATTGTACCTACAGAAAAAATGAGTCGTTTGGGGGAGGGAGTTTGTCTTTTTTATTTTTATTTTTTAAACTTTTCCCTACTTTTTCTTCAGCTAATGGAGAGAAGAAAACATTCTTCATCTCTGTATATTGGACCTTGTTAAAGACCTGACAAATTAGTGCCACCGTGTGGTCAAAAGCTACATTTTAAATGAGCTTCTCACATATACCATATCTTTGGTGTCATCAGATGCAGGTGCAGATTGAAAGTTTTTAACTGCCTTACAGGAGACACAGGCGGCCCAAGTTTGGTCCACGTCCCTATGTTTAAGAATCACTGGTGGCAGGCATTAGACAAACCACCATGACCAATGACACCAGTGTGTCATTACAGTCACTGTTGAAGGTTGGAGAAGATGGAGAGTGAGAGAGGTGAGCCCTGGTACAGAGTAAATGATGGAACATATAGACGACTGCTGCACAGGCAGTGGACGGCAGCGGTGGCGAGACGGGCGAAAAAAAATGTCCACAGAGTCTGAAGAACTTATGACCCCCCTGAGCCTGTAGCTCACACAACTTTATGGGATGCCATATTTCCCTCATTTCGATATGTTAGCTTTGCGTGGGTGGTCTCCTCTGCGATTAGCTCTGCAGTAACATCTTCATCTCACCCAGGGCACTTCTGGTTGCTGTTACACATGATTCCGCCTCATTTAGAGACAAGACGGCGCACAGTGTGTGCAGCATCCAGCCCTGCATTTAATGAGCTTCCCTGTTTATACATCATGATTCATTCAAATTATGTATATGACCCAGCTCGTTATCCCTCTTTTAACAGATGATTTCATTTTAGTCCATGCAGTGTAATAGTCAAGGTTTTAACATCATATTTTGTTTAAACATTTCTTGGCTAATTTTTAATGTAAAGTTCGACATCAAATGGTGGAACAATCATCGGCAACGTCTCAAATCATTTATTATTTGCACCAGCATACTAAGATTTGCATACTTCCCAGAATCCAGCTGTTATAACGATGATTTGTTTGATGTTGACGATTCCTGGAAGTATGTTATGTTGTTCAAAGGCCTTGTCAAGGTTTTTTTTTTTTCTTTCCCACCTCTTTCATACTGTACAATGCATGGGTGGATTAGGTGAAATGTAAATTTTTGTGGTGTTTTCGGTCTCTTACTCACTCCTTTTCAGGCTGTCTCTCGTTTTCTTTACAGTATAATAGCAGAGGGGGAAGCAAGGCTGTATTTACTGTACGGGGGGAGGGGGTGATAAGATGCAGCGGGGAGGGCTGGTGTTGAAAGGGTCCGTCAAAGTGCTGCAGTTCTGCAGCCTCTCTCCCTCCAGTGTTTCCATGTGTACAGAGTTGTACTTCCTTAGTTACACACAGATGCTGCACCTACAAGCACGTGTGCACGTATACACGCATAGGAATGTCCGAGCATGAGGAAGCCCTCTTCCCACCGCCTCCCCACCCCCATCCCAACTCTTAATGGAGACAAAGCCGGATTAAAAAAACCCTTTGCCTTTAACACGGGAAACTCGGGCTGAAGAGTCGAGTCATGTCCTAAAAACATAGTTTAGCAGAACTCTGACATGTCGATAAACAACACAGGAAATGCAAGCTGCCCAGATAGGAGGAGTGAGGGTAGGGATCAGGGGGGAGACCGGACTGAGAAGGAGAGGGGGTGAGACTGAGGGGGAAAGAAGGAAGGAGGTCACCGAGGGATGGAGGGAGGGGACAACAGACGGGGAGGGCAGGGAACAGGCATTTGCTGCTTTTTTCTCAGCGTGGGCTGCACCGTGAGAGACGGACAGAAGAGTTGTTGCCTTGTGTCTGTGCCTGGAGTAGACATTGTAACAAGGTGGTATGGTGTGAAGGGAAAAAATATTGTTTGAAGGAAGATTCAAGGTATGGAAGCCACTGTTTCTGTTTCTCTTCTGCCCTGATTTGTCTGACAGCACTTTTAATTATCTTGTTTTTCTCACTCTCCTGTTGCTGCTCCTCCTTCCACTGTATCACAACACAAACAGGTACACAGCTCTGAGATGTGACTTAATTCAGTGCTGTCTTTTTTACACCTAGAGGTGTGACAGCAGCTCAGCCCGTCCCGTGTCTGTCCGGCCAGCTGTGCTGCACACGGGATGTTACTGCTGCTTTTACAGGGACGTATATGTCTTTATAAAACACGAGGTTCGGCGGCTTCTGGGTGGTCCCGGCCCCTTACAGCACAGTCTGTCCCAGGCATAGTATTTTTAGTCAGACTCGCTGTAAACCTTATTGAGTGAACATCCTGTCTCGGGCTCTCTTTATATACACTACATCCACTCTGTTTTTTTTTTCTTTTTTTCTGCTTCATGTCTTTGTTTTTTTGCAGTTGTTTGTGTAGCCTGTTGTCATCGACTGAATTACTGAGCACACAACCATATACCTGCACATTGTTGCTGTGTACTGTGTATACAGTCGCACTTAAAGCTGTGCACTTGTAGATGGATTGACCTCTGCTGTTGTAAGAAGAGTATAAGATTTTAGATTTTTTTTTTCTGCGGTTGTTCACATTAGTATATTTTGTAACCGTCAGCGGTTTTCTACCCTGAAGTCACCTGCCTGGGCTAAAAGAGATGTGATATCACATGCTTTTCTCGCTAACGTGATTTTAGCCAGTGTGCGTGAATGCATTTTGAAGTAAATGTCTGTTAATTTGATTAGTTTAATATCAGTCAAATAGCCTCCGCTCCTCCCCGTTCTCCCCACAGCGGGGGCTGTCACACCCTGTCCTTTGGCCTCCGTCCTTGTTCCTTCCGTTGATTAGCTCCTCCCCCTCTGTCTGCTTATGTCATCCTTTTTTCTTTTCTTTTTTTCAGCGACAGCCCCCTGTCCTGGCATAAAATTGTAATATTTCTCTCGCATCAATTATGTAAAAATCAGATGATATGAGCAGGACTGACGATTGTGGTCATTTAAAAAAACATCACGAATACAAGTGACCCGGGGAATGTTTGAAAGAAATCAAATTTGTGCTGTTAAAAATCTGGTCAAAATATCAGCAAATATTTGAGCCAATTTCGCCTACAGTGTGAACGTAGCCTAGTTCAAAAAATGTTTAAATTTAAAGCAACAAAATGATCCTCGTTTGCCGAGTACATACTGAAAAATACATTTTTATTTACTCTTGTTGTCGTACATCCCAGTTGTTTTCTTTTCGAGTACGATTTTACCAAAGGAAATGTAAATTTGTGAACTAAGCTCAGACCTTGAGGGAGGACTAACAGATGGTTGATTGTATGAGAAATGTAAGCAAAATGGAGGAATGTCAGCAGAACAAGGGTTGATATATTTATATTCCACCCTTCCACCCTTCCACCCTTCCTTCCTTTACCTTCCTTCCTGAAATTGTGTAAATTAATACGTATGTGCCCCATGATGTCATCCCACAGTGCCAAAATCATGGAGGAAATGGACTTTGAGCGGCGTCGGGAGCTGAGGAGGCAGAAGCGGGAGGAGATGCGATTGGAGGCAGAAAGGTAACATCCAGTTTTGTTATGTTTTTTTTTTTTCGTCTGCCTCTCATTCACAGCACAATGCTCTCAGAAAAGTCAGCTCTCTCTTTTGGCTCGGTTTGTGGTGTGACTTCACAGCGGATGTGAAGTCACCGTCGTTAACTGTCCTATTGATAGAGCTGGTGTAAAGCTGAGGCAGCAGCCTGTATTATTTAATGAAGCTCTGTTTGTCAGTGAGCGGCTCACCTCCTCTGATGTTCTTGCCAGCTCTGAAAACGATGGAGCCAGCCCCAATAGCCTAAACCCTCTTCTAGGTCTTTAAAGGCATTGCTCAGCAAATAATTTACACTGGCAAGAAAAAAAAAAAACCCTGATAAAAAGTCTGATAAACAATGTGATGACCTTTAAGCGGGAATGTTCAATCAGGCCCTCCCTTTTTCCAATTTTCTCTCCCAGATGCTTTGGCTTTGTGAACCCTCTTTGCTTGGGTGGTAGAAATTGATGGAACCAAAGTCCATTTCTGTAAATTAGGTGGTAACATGCCAAACGTAGTAATCACAAACAGTAAAAAAAAATAAAGGAGTGGGAGAAGTTGATTCAAACTGTGCCGGGGGGGGGCATTTGATGAAGGCTTTTCACAGACATTTCATCATCTGTGGTGCAGCCCGTTCAATTAAGAAGAGAGTTGGTGAGGGAGCAGATACTGGCCAAGGTCACTCTCCCGTTTGAAGTGTCTGTGTGTAGTATTTAATTAAAAATAGTTATCGCTACATAAAAAAGAAAGCCGTTGGATATCTCATCACTGCATAAAACATAGATTTTTATGTATTTAATTTTAGTGTGTGTGTGGGATTTGTTTTATTTTAATCTGTGATGCATTTATTCTTCACTTGCAGCTTTTTTATGTATAACTCCATTTCGTGCTCTGTGTCATTTTCACTTGAAGCAAATTGAGTTAAAGAAAAGCCAAATCCAGGACATGTCGGTTCCATAGTGTAGCAGTTAGCATGCCTGCATCGGAAGCAGAGAGTCCTTTTTTTACGTGACCCCCAGTTTGAATCCATTCCTTTTCTCCTGATGTCGGTGGAAGTCAATGCTGTTGCACTTTATTGCTAACAAACGTCATAAACCCCTGCTGGTAGAAGTACGTATTCATGTATTCGGCTGCCTGTGTTGCCTGAAGGGGAAGTGATTCAGCGGTGTGGGGAAGAGAATGGACTTGAAACTTTGGCGCTAACATTTTTACCCTGTAGCGGTTTTGTTCTCTGCTGTTTATTTGGTCAGCGGCGCAGAAGTTATCGGCCGGCAGGAGACGTACCGTTCCTGTTATTGATAGAAGATTACATCTCTACGCTGTTTCCATTTCTGCCAATATACTGAAACAATCAATATTTACATGCCCCTCTCGGTCGGACTAGTCAAAACCACATGTTGTCTCACTGGCCCGCTCCCATTCAACCATCGCTGAGGAGCTGGAGAGTGTGGACAGAGTGTAATAACTGCTGAAGAAATGCCAAAAATTCCTAACTATTAGAAGTGTTTACTGGCCCAGGTCTGCATGAGCCGTTTCCTACACGCCACGGCTCTGTGTGAAAGACGGGACCGTCTGTGTCATTGTCTGTTTCTCTGTCAGTCTCTCTCTCTCTCTCCCTCTAACTCTCTCGCTTCTATCCCCGACTTTCTCTCTCCCTCCCTCTGCCTGTGTTTCGCTTCCTCGCCTCTAACCCCTGTCTCTATATTTTTCACTATCTCCTTGTTTCCCTCTCTTTCACTTTCCCCTTTCTCTCTCTCTCTTTCTCTCTCTCTCGCCTGTGCGCAGTGGTTAGGCTGAGCGCGTGCATGCAGTTAGGCCTGCAGATGTTCTTTTCATTGTATGTCTGGATCAGCATCAGGTGATGAGGGCTTGACAAGCTCCATTTGTGAGCGTGTGTGTGTGAGTGTGTGTGTGTTAGCAGGAACAAACTCCAGCTATTTTACTTCTCTGTCTCACATCAGCAGCAGTAATAGTTGTAAGAAAATTCTTATTGACAGAGAGCAGCGCAGCAGCCTTTGATGGTCCTCACAGTTTGATTGGTTAAAGACTCAACCCCAGTGTTTTTCACACTCATGTTCTCATCAGGACTATACTGCAGAGGTCTAAGTGTTTCTGTTCACTTCGACGTACACTCAATGACACAGGAATGTTTTTCCGTCCTGCTTTTTTTCTTTTTTTTGCAGCACACAGCAGATGGAAGAGGAATTTTCCCAGTCAATTCAGTGACCAAAGGATTTTTATGTCAACTTAAAAAAAAAACTCTGTTGCTGTGATAGTACACTTTTTTTTTAACAAACTGTGGGTACACCCTACAAAACAGAGCCGGACCATTTATGCAGTCCTTTGTCCCAGACGTGGTCGGAATGGAATACTTTGCACACGGCAGGATACATTGGCCCATTCCTTGAAATAGTTCCATGCACAGCAAACCAAACGATGTTCTCCGACGTTCTCTGTTTGTGCAGACAAACACTGGAAACAGCGATGTTTTTCACCGCTTTTAATTATCTGTGTTGAGCATTTAGAACGCTCGGTGTGATTGACGTCATCTTCAGTTTTTTTCTATTGTTTTAACAGCTGTGAACATCGTGAATTCTGCGACGTGCCCTTATCGTTCGATCCAGCTTCCAGTCACTCGTGTCCACAAACAATCCAGTTTACATAAGTTGTCAAGTTTGACAACTTATAAAACTCTCAGTATATGGAGTTTTATTGGTGTTTGTACATTCAGTATACAGACACAGATATAAACACAACAGAATGTGTCTTCTGTATACTTAGTGAGCGAGGGGAACTTTGGATCCAATCCTCTTCCAAGAAGTTAGTAGCGGGAGTGTATTGGCAAGAATACATACCATGATACAGGGGCATGGATACGGTGTATTGCGATATTGTTAGTACGAATATTTTTTTTAACATCAGGTTAATTAAATTGGAACAGAGGGATCTACATTTGTTACTGCTAGAGAAGAAGTAAATGCAAAGTAAAATGAACCTACGCCATGAACATTTGCATGTTGCTGTAAAATATGGATATGGTATCGTGAACAAAAATATCACATTTTTTACGCCCCTAGAAGTTAGGATATTTTTTCTTATTTCCTTCATCAGTAAATTCTATCTTGATTTAAACTCCTCAAAGGAAACTATACATTAAATACAATGTATTATTATTATTATTATTATTAGTTGTTCAGATTAATGAACTTATCAGAAAAAAAGATAAGAGATTCATTGTCTTAAAATTGTATGGCTGTATTGGTACAAGTGTCACTACCAAATTATTGGGTTGGCAGTTCGATCCCTGACTCGTCTATTGACGCGCCATTGAACAAAACCATACAGTTCCTATCAGGTTGGATCACATTAAAAAAAACACTATATAAATACGTCCAAACTCTCCTCACTTTCTTGTTTCCATATCTTCATCAGTTTCCTCTCCAACCCCACCGTTCTCCATCCCTCGTCTTTTCTCCTCAGCCCAGGAAGAGCTGAGGAAATAACACCCATCCTTTGAGAATGAGCCATGCCAGGCAATCTCCACCCCTGGCATGAACCAAATCTAAGTTGGAAAGATTTAGGTTTTTAACCTGAAGGGACTGTTGATTTCCTATAAGCCAGCATCACCTGACCACATCAGCCAATACGGGAGTTGAACTGTCGTGACAGTTTTGGAACGCACTCATTTCAGCTCAGTTGTTTTTCTTTCCATTACTTCTCACTTTGACTGGATGTGAGAATAAATGCAGTCTGGAGGAATGCAGTCACCGCTAACATTGTGTTTAGTTGGAGCCGGCCCAGCTGAGAGTCGGGCGGCGAGGAGAGACAGAAGGGGCGCGCTGTGGTTCTCTGGGCCCTCGATAGAAAAGGAAATAGTCCAGAAAGACCAGCGTGGGAATGGGTCAGCATTTCTGACAGGACAAGCCCCCACCCTCTCAACCCC